ACGGAAAGGCCAGGAAAAACCTCAAACCCCCTCGAGCCGACATCCAAGGTCTCCGGTCCACCCACTCCGACCCGGTGACGACGCGGTGATAGGACGGCTGCAGGTCTTAACAGATGATGATATTCGCCGATGTTCGTGCCATGATATCATGGCGACCGGGTCGGCTGAAACGCAACAACGGGGGATTGACCAAATGACATTAGATTCCCCAGAGTCGAACTCAGGATTCCTGTTTTCGGCAAATTCATGCCGCCGGAGAACAACGTCGGATGAGGTCGCACGCTGTCGAGATGAAGGGATCTGGATCAGGGCTGTGGCTGGTATGGATGAGAGACAGAGTACTACGGCGCACCAATCTGACTTGGAAGCATGGAGATGAATGACCACGGCGACTTTGTCTTCTTCATCCGTCCGAAGTATGTACACACGCGCACATGCACGGAGAGGATACGGGTACACAGCTCCAAGATACGCTCTGGCAGGTTGGGATTGGGCTGGCAGCACCACACGTTTACCCAGACAACGAACATCCTAGAAGATCTTTCCCCTCTTGACGACACCAACTTCTTTTTTGGTGTTCTGCACCAAATAAGCGCCAAAAAGAAACGGAGAAAAAAAGTGTACCAGAGCGACACTGTTCTGGACTCTTGTCCGTCGAACCAGGCAAGGGATCAAGACATCTCTGCATCTGTCGAACTGTTCGCAACCAATCTGCGCCGGAGGAACGCATGGCCCCTTTTTCTTTTCCCAGGCCAGGGACGCATTCCATCTTCGGAGCTGCCAATCATGTCTGATTTCCCATGCTCAAGTTCTCAACGGGGAGAAATCACCATGTCTCGCGAGCTCACTGGATCTTTGGATGCCGCACCACCTTTCCACGCCTTCCACCAATCCCGACTTCCACGTCAGTAAGACCTCCGCCTCACCAACCCCCTCTCGGTAATCGATCGGGGCACACCCCGGCTCACCCCCTCTTCCGACGACCCCTCACCACAGGTCGAGGTCCACATCCAACACCACGGCACGGCAAGTCAAGACAGCCTAACGAACAGGCCAAGGCCAGGAACACAGTGCAGTGCCGACCTCCCGCAGAACCTCGCTGCTCCCCGTCCCCGCCGCCTTGTGCCCAGCACCGCTGAAAATCGACCGATGCCATTCTCCTATGCACAACCACGCAGAATCGCCGTCTGCTCCTGGAGCCCAAGCATCTCACTAAACAAGTCCGACAAGTCCAACATTCCACGCATTTCGCTCCTCACCAGCACTCATTGGTCATTTCGGCCGTGGTACCTGATCAGCAGAAGCCACACCGCATTCGAGACAGGTCCTCCAGCTTCTAGGAAATCTCCCCCAAGCGGTTGGCTGCGCAAGCCTTTTGTCTCAGCACAAGACAGGCCGGTGGTCGCAGTCAATCCAGCACTCTATCCTCGGTTTCTCAATCATCAATTATTCTGCTGTTTACGACGTCTTACAGGCCAGGCCCCTCGTTGTTGCCTTGTCGAATCACATATGTGGTTGCTCCGAGTACAGGATAGAGTAGTTGCAAAAATAGCAAAGAAAGCAGCCCCCTCTGTTTTGCGTGCCCGGTTCGTCCGAATCGCTCTGCTTGAGGGGGAAAACCACAGCACCCTCACCATGACTCGACGACGAGGGAAAGCTGTGGTCTATCTCTGACATCACCAGGCCCAGCAAAATCATCCACGGGCTTTGCATCGGGACAGTGCAATTGAGCTTGTGGCACTGACCCTGGTCCTGGTTGAGGTGTGTCTCCAGCCCAGCCCTGCTAGCAGAGGCGACCTCCCCAACCACCCCTGGGTCACTATGTTCACATCGACAACCATCAGTCATCCACCCACCCATCCACACTCGCAAATCAATATTGAACTGCTGCTATGTAGTGAAAGTGTGGATGAGGTGGCTGTGATGTTGTTGTTGTTGTTGGTCTGATGTACAGAGTAATCAGCCTGGAATGTACATGAAGATTTGCTTTGTTCCAAGTGCTGTTTGCAAGTAGCCGCATGCCTCTGCATATCAGATCACAACTAAATACCAACCTTCACAAACACACATGGCTACTTACACCACGTATACACACACTACTGCAAGTTCCTTAGCTCAAGGTATTTGCTCCATCAAATCCACATTCTGAATGTCAAAGACGCGCAATACCCACGGCTGAAGCTTATCTTCCTACCCTACCGGCCTACCCACCAGGCCTTACTCACAACTCTACCCTCCCTCTCTTTGTATATGAACCACCAGGCCCCAACCCTCCCTCCTCCTCAATCTCCCTCTCTTCAGCTCACCTTCGCCATCCCTGCCCATACTCTCGCTCATAGGGTTGCCCTCCACCAAGGAAGCCTGCCACGTTTATTTCACTGAACCTATTCCAACACCTTATTTCTTCCACCGACCCTTCGACACTCACTCATACGCATCCCGCGTGGCAACGGCAAAGGAACAACAGACAACCTTCAACTCACACAGCATTGGGCAAGAGGTACCACTCAAAACAAAGCTCTCTTCCATCCTCGGTTCTTTTCCGATCTCACCCTTCCCGTACTTCCACGAGGCACCAACACAGGCAGTACCCGCCTTTTTCGTGTGATTCTTGAACGAGGACATTGTTGGACAAAGCGGGTCAGGAGCTTTTGCTGGACTACCCTTCACCACCTCACCTTCGGGCAAAAACAATTCAACTTGGTTGTTGGGAATTCTTCTCTCCACCACATCGACATAACACTTGAGCTACATTGCTTTGCCAGCAAGCTATCTACCACAGCAACCTTCACCGCCTCCCTTGGAACCACAAGAACTTCGACTCAGGTAAGCTGATCTCTATTACGACTCATTTATTGCCAGCGAGATGGACTCCAATTCTCACCATCGAGCACGTCTCGTGGATTCATTGGCTCTATTTTTGGCGATCTTGAAGCCTGCCCCGTCTCTTACCCTCCCTCTTCCATCACCGGCAGGCGACGTCATGGACTTGTGGCATCAAATCCTGATCTCACCTGCGCTTGCTGGCCCGGGTTTTTACACCGTGTGTTTTCCGAGTCCAGTCGGAGCTCCCGTCGAACTTCCTGTCCCTCCTGAGCTGTCCGGTGACTCGTGAAGTGGTTTGTGCTTCATGATCTCGCTGGTCCTCCACGATCTTGCCTCTCTCTCTCTCTCTCTCTCTCTCTCTCTCTCTCTCTCTCTCTCTCTCTCTCTCTCTGTCTGTCGGATCGACACATTATATGGAAACTCATGATCCTCGACCCGAGTAAAAAAAAAAAAAAAAGAAGACGCTCTTGCTAACTCAAAATTCTCTAGTCAACAAGATGCGCTCCTTCGCAATTCTCCCCGCCGCCTTGGCTACCTTGGCCGTGGCCATGCCGCAGGCCGCTCTCAAGCCATCTGAGAACCCTCCCGCTGGTTGCTCTACGAGCTACACCGGCAACTTTGGTCTCACCGTTGTGGGGCTCGGAAAGCGAAGTCTCGATGTAAGCCTCAGCAGTTCCGGAGGAAAACGGTGTTTAGTACTGACCAATGCAACAGAAGCGCGGCTCCTGCACCGGAACTGGTTCCCTGGACCTCACCCTCAAAGACGGTGTCCTCACCGATTCTCAGGGCCGCACTGGCTCTATTGTCGCGAACTACCAGTTCCAGTTTGACGGTCCTGCTCAAGCTGGCGCCATCTACACCTCTGGCTTCTCCGTCTGCTCCAACGGCTCCCTTGCCCTTGGAGGCTCCACCACTTTCTACAGATGCTTGTCCGGCGACTTCTACAACTTGTACGACCGTCACTGGGCCGAGCAGTGTTCGCCTATTCACCTGTCGGCTCTTCCTTGCGGCGCCGATGCTGCCGTCCCCTCTGGCGGACAGGTCGTCGGTACTACCATGGTTGTGACTACTGTTGTCACGGTCATTGGTGACGGTCAGCCTCAGGTTGTTCCGACCACGATCCCCGTCCCTCTCTGCCAGATTGGTGACGGCCAGGTCCAGGGCCACACCACCCCCTGCGGTGAGCTCCCGCCTGTCACTGTGACGCCCTCTGCTCCCGCCAGCCAGCCCCCTTATACTCCCCCGGGAACCCCCGTTGCCCCTCCTGCGACCACCGCACCTGTCGTCCCGCCCGTCCCCACCTCTCAGGTGCCGGTTCCGGTCCCGTCGGTCCCGTCGACCCCCGTCAACAGCACGGCGGTCGTGACCACCCCTGGCACCACTGCGACGCCGCCTGCAACCACGACCACCCCGGCGGCTCCTCCCGTTGCTGCCGGCCAGAACCTGGCTCCGGCCTCGTTCGTCGCTCTCGTTGCCACTCTGATGGCAGTCGTTTGCCTCATTTAAGTCGCTTAACTCGGAATGTGTGGTTGGACTTGAAAGGTTCACAAAGGCTTAATTGGCATTTTTGCTTCTCAATACCCTGCCAAGAAATCGGCATTTTAATTCTATGATGATGACCAGGACACGGACTTTGTACAAGAGCAGAGTATGGATGGGTTTGCCTGTTTGCAAACAGGTAGCTACTTAGATAGTTGGGGGAGGGGACTGTGACAAGTCCTTAGGCAACCCGGCCGCCAGAGCAATACCAGTACATCTTCAGCTGTAATCTTGTTCAAAAAATGTATTTCAGTGACATGAATTTGATGAAGTGAGGCACGTCTCCCTACCCGATTTTGAGTGGACAATTCTCTGGACATTGGCGAGTATGACATCCGATGTCGCTGCGCACCTCAGGGAGTGACATTCCACCTAAGGTACTGGGATGTGGCTGGTGATAAGATAAGAGCTGCACGGCCCCCCCTCCCCCCCCCCGGGCATGGCAATGGGGCCGAACCTCGAAATTCTGGTCATGGGCGCATCCTGCAGTGACGTCTCGGCCAACCTTCTTTCTCTCTGACAACATAACACACGAAAACCCAGCCATCTCTTTCGAACACACCTCTCTCTACCTTACCTCTACCTGAACACGTACACGCGCACACCTAACACGTACGCAACGCACACGTACAGCCATGTCAGAATACTGGAAATCGACGCCAAAGTACTGGTGCAAGCACTGCAGCATCTTCGTCCGCGACACGAAGCTCGAGCGACAGAACCACGAGGCGACGGGCAAGCACCAGGGCGCGCTCAAGCGGTTCCTGCGCGACCTCCACCGCGGCCATGAGCAGGAAGAACGCGAAAAGGACAGGGCGAAACGCGAGGTGGAGAGGTTGAAGGGGATATCGTCGGGGACAACATCATCATCATCATCATTCGTGAGACCCGGCGGTTCGAGCAGCAGCGGCGCGCCGCCGTCGGCAGAGGCGCAGCGCAAACAGCAGATGGAACAGCTCGCCGAGATGGGTGTGTCGATACCGACGGAGTTCCGGGGCGATATGGCGATGGCAGGTGAGTGGACAGTCACTGCAACAAAGGTTGTCGACGACGAGGAGGCGGCGAGGGAGAGGGAGAAGCCTGTTGAGGCCAAGGCTGTCGGGGTGAGGAAGCGAGAGCAGACGGAGGAGGAGAGGGAGGAGGAGGAGGCTGTGAGGGGGTTATTTAAGAGGCCTAAGAAGTGGGGGAGCACGAGGACGATGCCGGCTGACGACGAGGATCTTGATGCATTGCTGAATGGGAATACGCTGATGAGGGCTGTGAAGAAGGAGGAGGAGAAGGATGAGGTGGATGTCAAGAATGAGGTGAAGCAGGAGGCGGAAGGGGAGGATGCGACGGGGGCCACGTCTGATGCGCCGGCTGTCAAGAGAGAGCCGACAGAGGACGAGGCTGGGAAAGGCTTGGATGTGCCGGCCTTGGGAGAGGACGGCGTCAAGAAGGAGTACGAGGCTGCAGAGCCCACGGAGGCTGCGGCGCCGACGGTGGTGTTTAAGAAGCGCAAGCCCAAGAACATGCGACAAAAGTGAAGTTTTTCTTTCTTTGGGGGGGGGGGGGGGAATGGATATACAGCATGTCTGGGGTGCATAGCGAAGGCGTTGGGTATTGGATTCCTACACAACATAGACACGGGGTTTTCAAAAAGATCTACAGATCAACGGCCGCCCAGACGTATGGTCAGGGATAAATACTATCATGAGTATTTGCATCATGATCAACGGGAGTATTGGCCTGGCCGTCTGGCATGTTGTTGCACAGTTGCATTGCATTGGTGATGGACGAATCCTTCTGGAGCGGCAATACAGCGTCCCTGTAAGGTACCTTACCTCACTGTAGACTGTGTGTGTACTTCGTCTGCATCGTCCCATCCACCAAACGTGCCAATTACAGGGCCTGAATGTTCCCCCAGGACGCAGCGTAGGACGGGGGTTAGCGGGGTAACACGTGACTCACTGGGGAAATGGAAGTTCACTGCGCGCACCGGCACCGGGCAGAACGGGGACATTTCCTCTCTTGCGTCCAGTCTTTTTCCTCGGCACGCGTGGATCTTGAACTTCCCGTCACTCATTTTCATTGTGTGGGTGTGGTCTCACACTCAACTACTCAGTCCAATCTTTTTCTTTCTCATCCAAGGTGGACAGCAAAAACCCAAAACACAACAATAACAACACTTCAGATCATACTGCGCGCACACCTCACTCTCATCCGCGCACTCAAAACGACCTGGTACACCATGAGGCTTCGCAATGGAAAAGACGATGGTGTCCCCCCCAGCAGCTAGTCCCTCCACCATATCCCCAGCCAGCAGCTCTCACCTCGGCAAACGCCACGACCACAGCGAGGACGCCCAGGAATCCTCCTCCGGTGGCGGTGGCGGCGGCGGCGGCTACAATGGAGGACCCGGAGGACCATCATCAGCCGGCGGCCGCAAATCCTCATCATCCGGTGGCTCCCGCCCCAAAAGAGCCCAAGTCTCCCGCGCCTGCGCCCGCTGCAAAAACCTCCGCCGCGCATGCAACGAATACCGCCCTTGCAAGCGCTGCGTCGACGCCGGCCTAGGCGACCAGTGCCTCGGCCTACCCGGCCCCGTCTCCCTCGCCTGGGTCTCGGACGGTTCCCAGGCCTTCGGTCACGTTCCCCGCGAGGCCGTCCAGCGCATGGCGGACCTGTTACCGGCCCGCGTGATGGATTACTGCGTCGATCGGTTCTTTGCGCGGTTGCATCCTACCATCCCGATCTTGACGCCCGAGTACGTTGCGCAGATGAAGGTCGTCGCGGGGCCGAGCGAGGTCGGGATGGAGGCGCATTGTCTCCTGACGGCTGTGTGCGCGCTGGTGCTGCTTCAGGTGGAGGAGCCGGAGAGTCTGTGGATTCAGGGCTTGATTCCGGAGAAGAATGCGCTGCACGGGCGGATGTTGTTTGAGGAGGCGCTCGCGGCGCATCGGAACTTTGCGAGGCGGTCGAATCCGACGTTTGAGCAGTGTCTGCTCACGTTTTTCCTCTATGCGTGCCACTCTGCGCTCTTTCACCACAGCCAGGCCTTCTTGTTTCTGCGGGAGGCGACGACGTTGTTTCTGTTGCTGCGGATGAATACACCCGAGGCGTCGGCGAGTCCGGCGGCGGCGGTGCTGGCGGATCGGTTATTTTGGGTTCTGCTTGTCTCGGAGCGGTCGCACGGGATCCGGTACCGGCGGCCCGTGACGCTGCAGATCACGGCCGAGTCGCCTACCCTAGGCGCCGACGACCCGAGCCTTTCGGGGTTCTGGAGCCTGGCGGCGCTGTTTAGTCCGCTGGATACGTCGTTTATCGCACTGTTGAATATGGAAAAGGTGGCGACGCCGCCCTCGAACGCGGCGTTGACGTATATCGAGACGGCGGTGAATGCGGCGCTGCGATCGACTTCGGATCTAAAGGACACGCAAAAGGCGAATCTGCGGGTGACGCAGCTGTGGTTGAGGATTATTCTCTGGCAGCTGCGCCTGCGGTTCGGGTACCTTGCTGAAGAGTCTGTCCACTCGCCGAGCATGACGTATCACTACCCTCTCGAGGTGGCCAAGGACCTTGTGCTCTCTACGCGGGATTTACCCGTGGATAGTATAAAAGTGCACGGGGTCGGGTTGACGGAGAAGTTGTTTGACATCGCGAGCGCGGCGGTGGACGTGCTTGCGAGGGTGCCGATTACGAAGCCGTCGAGTCCGAGGGGCGGCCGGATGGGCGGGACGGGTAGCGGGCCGGAGGATGATTTGGAGTATATGAGGCGGCTTATTACGAGGCTGCCCGGGGGCAATTCGATTTACGATGACTTGTTGGAGAAGCATATTCAGCAGGCTGTGCCGAGTATGGCGATTGCGGGGACGTTGGCGCGTCGACCGACGTGAGATGCGTTTTTGATACCATGATTATATAGCACTGAGGAGGAGAAAGGAATGCGGATTCAGAGATGGCGAGGTGAGGTCGAGACCTGTTCATTATGCATGAGATTACGCTAGTAGTGCATGTAGTGGTGCAATAACTCCAACTATAGGGGTATCCAACATCCTCAAGACCCGTTCCTTGACACGTCCTTCCTTCTTTTCTTCTCCCGTCAGGGGGGGGGGGGGAGTATGATAGGTACTTGGCCTAGTGCTCCTCGGCCAACTTCTTCTCGCTGTCAACTTCATGCGAGTACGGATCAATCTTTGTCTCCGCAAACTTCCTCGCCGAAACCTTGTGCTCAAACAACAGATCCAGCTCGGCATACGTCCTCCCCTTGGGCTCCGGCACGCGAAAATACACCCACACGGACGAAAGCAAACACGTGCCGGCCCAAAACAGCGCCGTGCGCGCGCCCCAGTTCCACGCCGTCGACGAGAGCTGGTAATTCGTCATGACGTTCACGAAAATGTTGCTGGCGTTGTAGCCCGCGCGCGCGAGGACGATAGTCTTGTTTTTGAGGCGGGTGGAGGAGAGCTCCGAGACGAGGGAGTAGGTTACGGGCCCGACGGTGAAGTCGTAGACGAAGGTGAAAACGATGAGCATGGCGCCGATGGCCCAGACGGAGGCGTTGCTGTTGGAGAAGGAGAGGCAGCCGACAATCAGTAGCAGGCAGAATTGCGCGCAGAGGCCGGAGAAGTGGATTGTGCGCCGGCCGATGCGGGACATGAGGAACCATGAGCCCGCGGTGCCGACCATGCCGAGGGCGTACTGGCCCATTGATAGGGAGAAGGAGTTTCCCGGGTCCATGCCGGCTTGCGTCAAAAAGTAGGCAAAGTAGCCCATGAGGTTCTGCCCGCCGAGGGTCTGGACGAGCCAGATGCCGACGACGATTTCGGTACGGCGGAGGTCGATGCCCTTGAAGCAGTCTGCGTAGGTTACGCCTTCCTTTGCGCGCTTTTCGAGCTCGTTTGTGTGTTCTATCATGGCGATTGTCTCGTCTGGGTTGAAGTTTGGTTGGTTGCGGGAGGTGAGGCGGAGGAGGGCGCGTTTGGCGGATGCTTTGTCGTTGTGGCGGACGTACCACCAGGGGGATCTGCTCTCGTCAGCAAGGAGACCAGAGAAGAGAGGGTGTGAGAGTGAAGGGGAAAAGGGGGGAGAGGAGCTTACTCTGGGGCGAAGAAGAGGCCGATGAGAATGGGGATGGGCCAGACCCATTGGACGCCAAAGGGGATTCTGTAGGCCCATTCGTCCTGGTGGTGGTAGGAGCCTTTGTTGACGGCCGCGGAGAAGAATTGGCCAATGACCTAAGAATTTGTTAGTTTCGATATTTTGTAATTTGCTCTCGTTCTAGTGTGAAGAGTGACCTACCCAGCACATGTTGATGAAGGTGGTGAGGTATGGCCTCAGAACGACGGGAGCGACCTCGGAAGCGTATGCTGGCGTGACACTCTGGAAAGCACCCCAAGGGATTCCTGCAAGACGTTAGAACAAGACACATACGATAACTCGGGAGGAACCGAGAAGGACACAAAAAAAACATACCGCAGAGAACCTCTCCAAGCACCAAGATCTGCACATTCGGCGCAAAAAACAGCACAAAAATAAACGCAATCATCAACACCAAGAACCCCATGGTCGTAACCCGATACCCGTACCGATCCGCCGTCCAGCCGGCAATCACAAGCCCAAAGATCTCGCCCGCGCGGGCGCCGTTGCTGAGGCCGGACTGCCAGGCGGCGGAGATGACGTACTTGTTCTGGGCCTCGACAAAGGTGCCGTACTTGCGCTGGAAGACGGCCGAGGAGTAGAGGTTGCTGAGGAGGGCGAGGTCGTAGCCTTCCATGATGAGGGTGGAGGAGAGGAGGACGGACCAGCCGATTGCTTTTGGGTAGGTGCGGATGGCTTCGAGGAGGGACATTTTATGTTCTGCGGAGGCGGCTTGGGCTGCTTCTGCGGCGAGGTCTTCTGGATGCGCGGCATTGTGGGCGTTGTTTGGGGTTGCGATGTCGGTGTCATCTGTGATTGAGGTGTGGTGGTGGATGCCTGTCTCCTTATCCTCTTGGACGGGCGAAGAGACCTTTGGGTCGGCCATTTTTGAGAGATTGAGGGTTGTATATACGGGGTATCAAGTTTTATGATGCTGGTGATATTACGGAAGAAAGGTTGGGATGAGATTTATGAGATGATGGTGAGGAAGCGATGAGGGATGTGGGTGAGACTCGGTGATGCGCGAAAGTCGGACGCCTGAGGGAAAGTGATTGATCAATTAAGTTGAGGAGGGCATCCGGGGCGATATATATATCCCTTCAAGACTGTTAATCAGGCCCCGAATGAGATTTTTTGACAGCTTCGGTTACGACAAGAAGGGTCGTAGTCAAAGCAACATTAGGAGAAATTTGTAGCGCAGCAGTACGCAGTGCAGTGTACGCGGTAGTAAGAAAAAAAAAAAGGTGAGGTGAGAGGTTGGAAAATAAAATAAAAATCAGCTAAAAGTTAAGTGACAAGACGCCCTGCGCTTGAACCGTGCGCTCTAACCTTACCGCTGGCAGTAGTTACGGTTCCCCTTGGGGAATAAGTTCGGGGAGAGGGGAGGCGAGGGGAGGGGGTCCCTAGACGAGATGGGTTTGGCGTGATTACATTGTTTAATGTGTGGTCTGGTCATTGTGGTGAGAGGTGAGGGAGGATTTTGCAGCATGTTGAAAGTATGTCAGTCTCGGTTGACATGGGTCGGTTTGTTGCTGCTGCTGTGCCAAGCCATCTGATTTTGGTGATGAGCCATCCCCCTTCCCCCGGTCCTCGGTATGGTGGAGGGTGGTCGGTCGGTGACTCTGTGGTGGTTCGGGGGAGGAGGGGAAGGGCTGCCGAATCATGTTGTTTTTCTCAACTCCATGGGCAATTTGTGGAGAAGCGGAGGATCAGTCTGTCTACTCCATACGGATAAAGTACAGTAGGTAAGAGAAATGGTTGTGGGGATGACATGGAGCGACGGGATTGGTTCATTGAATCTCGTTTTGGAGGGTTTCCCAGCTGGACCATTAAGAATCTGGAGACGAGCATGGAGATGGAATCTCAAGCTATACTAAGCCTTCTACAGGTCTGGTGATGGCGTTCTCGACTCGTGCCAAGGTGCAGCTAGAATCCATTCTGATCATTCTGGAGATGGTGGCACGAGGCGTCAACAGGAGACTCCGCGAGCAACAGTGGTCGTGTACGGAGTGTCCGTAAAGGAAGAAGCAAAAAGTAAAGGATCGGGATGATGGGTTGACGCTATTCGCATCACGGCATCCATCTCACGAGGTCGAAACTAGATTGAGCGCGCCTTACCTTTCCCGAGCCGAGCTCCATGCGCATGTGCGGCGTAGCCACCGTCAGCCAGCCAGGCCCATGGCCTTTCCCCAGATTTGAGATTAGACCAACCTGACCATCCATGATCCAGCCCAATTCTCCAGACTTTTTTTTTTTTTGGACGGCCCTGAAGCTCATCACCACTTTTTCTTCCCAGAGTCTGACTGATGACCGTTCTGATTGGTGGGAGAGAATGACGTTTGTGGCTCCCGCGGGAGACAGGGGGGTCGGAGGGAGGCGCGGAGTCTAGCGGAGCATCTCCGGGCCCGGGTAGTCTCCACTCATTTGGAGGGTGGGGACCGACAGGGAAGGCGGAGTCTCCGCCCGTTGAAGATTTCTCTTTCTTCATCTTTTCTGCATCTTGTGCGACGGACGGTACATCCAAGATAAATGCATCATCATCATCCGATAAATGATAATCACCATGTGCGGCGGATGCGGAGTCTAAGCACTTGCTTCGCATGTTCCAAGCCGCCGGGGCGCTAATCAAAGGTTAATAATGAGCAGAAAATTCATATGAACATTGAGAGCAAGACAATCCCGCATATCTCCGCTTCTTCAACAACTTTACCGAGTTCCTTACTGCGTCAGGACTTACGGATGCTTTGTACCCACCTTGGCACCTCGAGAGCTGGCGGAAGCAATGCGGAGTGAGGGGAAACCTCTCTCCTGCGACCACACGTTGCATACCTTGCCTCACTTTACCGTACCTTACTGCGTACTAATGGATACTTGCTGTGAGCCTGTAAGAGTGTGAGAGAGAGACGCAGCTATGAAGACTCAGCAACTAGATAACCAAGAAAAGGCGGGGAACAAGCTCATACTCCCATCGGCATCTCCACAGACAATCGCACTCTCTTTGAATTCTCACCCCGTTACACCTCACACGATGCATCCTTTTCTTCCCACGGCCCTTCTACGGACAGATTCCGCCGGCACGACATTCATCCCCCCCCCCCCCCTCCTCTTCCCCGTCCCCATCCTCGATAGAAGCAGAAACCCTCGCCCAAAATGAACCACTCAACCCACACACGACACACGATAACCACAACTCTACTCCCGAGTCCATTTCCCTTCGCACGAATACCCGCTACGCATACTCCTCCCCCCACGCCCATCGCTCTTCTCTCCGCTGCATGTCATGTCGCCACGCCATTTTTCTGCCCCGGCCGCTGATCGCCGCCGTCCCAATTCCCATGCAGCCCATTCGCCGCGTGGTCAAAATGCGAATCGTTCCCGGCGCGTCCTGACCTCTGTCCATTGATCCATTGACCTCGGACCTCTCTCCCACACTCGACTCTCAACTCGACCTCTTCTTCTCCTGCTCGTCCCTCCTCCTTCTTCCGTCATCTGTCTGTCCTTCTCTGCTACTCGTCTACTTCCACCTACCCGGTCGACGACAACCCACCCACCCTCATTACAGCGTGGCTTGATCCCTCCCCAACGACCCCTCCATCACCATGGGATCCCTCGTCTGGGACGATGAGAACCGCTGGGTAGGCAAGCAGCCCTGGTGGAAGGACGCAACCTTTTACCAAGTCTACCCCGCCAGCTTCAAGGACTCGGACGGCGACGGCTGGGGCGATCTCCCCGGCCTCATTGCCGAGGTCGACTACCTCCACGAGCTCGGCGTCGACGTCGTCTGGGTCTCCCCCATCTTCGAGAGCCCCCAGGCCGACATGGGCTACGACGTGTCCGACTACCAAAAGATCTACGCACCCTACGGCACCGTCGACGACGTCGATACTCTGCTGGACGAGTGCCACAAGCGCGGCATGAAAGTCATTCTCGACCTCGTCGTCAACCACACCTCTGTCGAGCACGCCTGGTTCAAGCAATCCCGCTCCTCCAAGGAGAACCCCAAACGCGACTGGTACATCTGGAAGCCCGCGCGCTACGACGCCAACGGCGTGCGGCACCCGCCGACAAACTGGCGCGGGTATTTCGCGGGCCCGACGTGGACTTGGGACGAGCACTCCCAGGAGTACTACCTCCACCTGTACGCACCCGACCAGCCCGACCTAAACTGGGACAACGAGGCCTGCCGCGAGGCCATCTACGAGGATACGATGCGCTTCTGGCTCGAGCGCGGCGTCGACGGCTTCCGCATCGATACGGTGAACAAGTACTCCAAGCGCACAGACTACGTCGACGCCCCCGTCACCGACCCGACATCGCCGCACCAGCCCGCGCCCGAGATGTGGTGTAATGGCCCCCGCATCCATGAGTACATCCGCGAGATGAACCGTAAGGCCCTGGCGCCGTACAATGCCGTCTCCGTCGGCGAGCTATCCCTGACGCCGCACCCGTCGCAGGTGATCCCTTACGTCTCGGCCGCGGCCAAGGAGCTGGACATGGTGTTTGAGTTTTCCGTGATTCGGCTGGGGAACGGGAACGGGTTCGGCGCAAAGTATATTTATCAGCCGTTCCCGCTGTCGACGTTGAAAAAGTACACGGAGACGTGGCAGTCCTTTATTGAGGGTACGGACGCGTGGGCGACGGCGTTTTGCGAGAATCACGATAACGGGCGCGCGGTGTCGAGGTTCGGCGACGATTCGACGCCCGAGCTGTGGCTCGCTTCGGCCAAGACGATTGCGCTGTGGCAGGCGACTATGTCTGGGACGCTGTTCCTGTACCAGGGCCAGGAGATTGGCATGACGAACATGCCGGCTAGCTGGGGAATAGAAGAGTATAAGGATATCGAGAGCAGTAACTTCTACTCGGAGGCGTTGGAGTCCGGGGATGAAGAGCGGATTGAGAAGACGATGCATGGTTTGCGTATCTTGGCGAGGGATCACTCGCGGATACCATTCCAGTGGGACGATAGTCCGAATGCCGGGTTCACGAGGGAGGGCGCGAAGCCGTGGATGAGGGTGCATGATGAATACAAGTCTATTAATGCCGCAAAACAGCGCGGCGACCCGGACTCCATTCTGTCATTTTACAAGAGAGTGCTGAAGCTGAGGAAGCAGCACCGCGATGTGTTTGTTTTTGGATCGCACCGGTTGATTGATCCGGAGAACGAGAGGACGTGGGTTATACTCAAGGAGAGTCCCGCGCCGGTGAATGGGAAAGAGGGCGGGGTGAAGAGGAAGGCGCTTGTGGTGATGAACTTTTCGAAAGAGGACGGGGAGAATGCTGGAGATGTGGCGGCGTTGCTTGGGTGTGAGGCGCCTGAGGTACGGTTGATGGTTGGAACGAGGGAGGGTGGGGAGTTGGTGAAGGGGGTTGCGCCGGTGTTAAAGGGGTGGGAGGCGAGGATTTATACCAATTTTTGAGGGTTAGATGATGGATACCATGATGCTTGATAAAGGTTGGGTCCATAAGCCGGGGTGGGTTCCTAACAATATCGATGTTCCTACCAATCTAGACGAGTTCCTAGATCTTTTATATTCAACTTTGTATTACTTAAAACCTTTTCTCGCTTCAACAAATCCGGACCAAGGTCTGGGAAGTAGCAAAAACTCTCATAGCATTTTATGGTAACATCAAACCCCTAGTCGGTCACAACAATCGAATGGTACCCAGCGCTTACACATAGACAGGAAGCAAAGTACTTAAAGTAGAACAGCAAATACTGAGCTTACTCCGAAGCTTCTTCTTCGTCTGGAGCTTGGAACACAATGGCCCCGTGTCCCGCATCTCCATCATCCAGCGTAACAGACTGGATGTCAGTACCCATCTCTTGAAATTCTCCTGCAGCCGGCAAGCTCGCTTCCCCATCAACCGACTCCGGGTCTTTAATGGCGCTCTTCTTACGTTTCATAAACTCGCCGTAATGGAGTTGCTTCCTCTTCCCCCATCCCTTTGGCTCAATCTTCAGTAGCTGATAGCCGAATATGATATCCTGCATCGCCTCGAACCCATGCTGTTCCCTCTGGCTCTTCGACCCGCTCACCCCCGCCCCAACACTAACCTCAGGCGACACTTCCGCCCCGACTTGAGCATGCGCCGCCTTGTCCGAGCTGCTGCTCTGCTTCACAGCAAACCCCTTGGCGATCTTGAGTCCCGTGATCATGTACACCGGCTTCGCCTTAATCCTCTCCCTATTCATAAATGGCTTAACCGCTGGACTATCACACCGCTCGTGAATCTCCTCGTGCGAGGGGTGACGGAGGAGGTACGTCGTCTCCAACACGTCCATGGTATATTCGCCGCTGCCTGACGTTGCTGCGGCTAGCGCCGACCTTGAGTTGGATCTTCTCGAGGAAGACGCTTCACACGCTGACGTCGAAGCGGCGGGCTGTTTCCTGCGACATGCGCCAGTTGCGCTCGCGTGCCGTTTCGGTGGCGGAGGCGCTGCTGCTGCTGCTATGGTCTGCCTCGCTGCAGACTATGTGCGGTTTGAAGGGGTCGACGATGATGTTGCCGATGGCGATGGGGCCGCCTGGGCGGAAGGTCCATTGCGGGGCGAGGAGGTATGTTGGGTTTTGCACAAAGTCCATGTTGGAGTCAGACGGATGGAGTTCCTTGTGAAATAACGTTGATTCTTTTGGTAAGCTACCTTACCTAGACGTTTGCCGGCCTGATGCTTTGTAGTATTTAAGCACATCGTCTGAAGCACCCTGTTCCCCTTCAATGTACACCGATAGAGTATGATATCTCATTCGAAGCCGAATGAGGACTTACTGTCCCAATGGGACTTCCGTCACAGTGATACATCGTACTGCAATCAGTGCGGCTGAAGCCCGATAGCATTCCATGCATTACGCTGGAATCAATGACATCCCAACCTCATGTGACTCGGGAGCTAAAGCTCTGCCACCGCATACCGAACATTCAAAGATTGCAGATACATGATGTAGAAATTACGAAACTAACACCACGAGGTTTGGTTAGATATGCTTGCTGGAACTGCTTCAGATGAAGATATCCGTCGGTGACGAACTAGGGATCTGCTTGGTGCCTGCCCCTATCTTCCGCATTCAGAGGAACCAGAACAGACATCAAAACACGGAGCTGGCAGAATAAAGAAAGAAACCTAGATGTGATTAGCTAAGTAAGTTAGAAAAGGGAGATGCCAAGAGCAATGGTTTACCTGGTATATGTCCTTCAAGGTCAACCGCCGAGGCCTGTGATAAGCCGTCTTACCCTCGAAAAGAAGCATGCCTCGCTTAGTTAGCACGAACACCCATGACGCTTTCACCGCCAGTAGCTGCGACTTGAGATTGAAGGAATCGACATGGCTGTTTGTACGGGCATGATATTGGTGAAGCGCAACTATAAATTTTTCGATGGAAGTTAGAAAAAACTCAGCAAACATCAAGGATACGAAGGGAGATTTATTTCCAGCTTTTCGAAATACGTTACGTCGCATCTACAAGGAGAAAACGACTAGTAAGCCTCATTCTACGCCTAGTCACGATGAACATTCTGGTAGAATATGAAAGTGCTCTCCCCTAGGTCATTTGAAGACTGGAATCGGGATATATGAACATCCTTCTACAATTTCGTGCCTTCGTTGTCTAAGGTAGCCGACTGGTTCCGTGTCCAAACCTTCGCTATCTTAGGTCTAGAACCAGAAACGATCAATTTTTGATTCTCGATGTCCACGTATCCGGGCTGTTGATGAACTCGATACCCAAGCTATGTCCTTATGTCCATGTCAAAAAACACTGGATCCGAAAGTAGTACTTGAATAGAAGTTTCTGTGAGCACGGTGCCACGAACTCATCGCAGTTTACCCTTCTGCGAGATGAGGCAGCCAACACAAAGGTATCCAATGAGATTCAAGTACAACCTCAATCGTCATTTGCCTACGGAATTCACAGAATAGTCCAAATCGTGGGTTTCGGGTAGCCTTAGAGTGATCCGGTTCACAGGTAACATTCAGTGCCGTCGCAAAATGTAAGGTCACGTTATGAAGGGGCAATACATTTCACTGATAAAGCCAGAGCTATGATCAAGTTTTGTATTGCGGACCAGAAATTTACAGCTTGGAATGACCCTGTCGACCTTAGCAAACTTGATGTAATAGAGAATCTCTAGAACCACTCCCATTGAGCTGCGTATCGGTCCTTAGTCCTTCAATTTCAAGTCGCTATAGAATTTCTTTGGAGGAGTCTTAGAATCTTGTGAATGTGAACTTTCTGTTCCTTGAAAAGACTGGAGTCTTTAAGCTGTCATCTTCAGCCGCATCACTAGACGTAGTCGACTCCGAATCGGAAGTTTCTGGTCCAATGTCTTATTGGACATCTGGTTGATCTGGCTTGCGTACGGAGACTTCTTGAGTCTCAACCTCGATGAACCCCTTGGACACTGGTTTTGAGATTTAGCTTGGCAACCAAGATTTTGAGCAGACAAGTAACCAATCTCCAAAATTTTCTCCAAAGCCTCCAGCAAGCCCTCGAGGTGACGGCATGTTACTTTACTCGCATTATTTCTATCTCTCAAGCGATGATCAAGTGAAGATTCACTGCTGCTTCTTTTGTTGAAGCTAGCCGCCCAGATGTTGAAGTTGGCCTGACGGTCTTCCATCCACGCAGGAGCGGAAGTAGATCCTGAACTGGCGATGAGCCGGCCGAAATCAGCTTTGCAGTCTGGAATGCGCTGGGGGATGACAGGGGCTTCCATGTTAGGGTGTAACCGATTGGTGTTGGCTCACAAGACATGTGGATTGCGATGTAAATGGGAAGTTCCCCAATGTCGCCGTTGTGCGAATTAGAGATGTTTTAGTACTTTCAACCTGGGCTGTTGTTGAACAAGAACCTAGGGAGGCGGCTTTATTTGCTTTTCACAGAATTGGACATTGGTCGCGAGGGAGTTTGGCAGTAGAGAGATGGGAATGGAACCCCTTGTTCGAGAGCAATGAGCACAAAGGAACCTGGCTTTGATCCAGTTACCTTCCTCTTCCAAGCCAAGTTTTGTTAGCTAGGAGCCCACCTCTTTTACCACAATCAGGCGTGGGATGCTACTAATTTCTACCCTTTCTTCTCCTTTCGTACTCGAATCATGTTGTGTTTTGCTGCATTAGCGATAAATCAAAGGCTGATTTACTCGTCAGTTTAAAGTTTGTATCGGATCGCAATTCATGGACTCTTGACGAGAAAGAAAGAATGTGGAGGGATTGAATGCCTCAAAACTTGCTAAATTACAAAGATCTCGCTCCCATCTCCAGGTGCAATCATCTTTTTGTTTGCAGCTCCTTCCTTGCGCAGGGTGTCCTTCATTTCAATAAGAGCAGCCCCAGAATCCATGAAAGTCGATCCTTTGGAATAGATCTCACGGTTCCATGTGGGATCCATAATGCCCTTGCGTATCTTGATGACTTGCACCGCCCACACGAAGTCAGAAACATGCCCGCTTGACAATGTCAGATTGTTTTCTGACGAATGGTCTATGTTGAAACCAACATCGGCTACACCAGAGAACCCACTGATCAAAGTTAGTCTTCATGTTGATAAGTACAGTCATCTCCTTCAAAACAATGGGGTTTGCTAGTTGGTTGTCTTACGCTCCGAGGCCGGCTTGGACTCCAATGTTACGTGTCTCCGATCGGGCGACTTTCGCACCACGAGCGACAATCATCCCAGTGATCATAAAGCAAGACCACGATCCCATCCTTTTGCTTCTTTGGATGTATCTCGACACCTCACTGGTAGCAATGCTGTCCTCTATGTATGAATGTGTTGGTCGCATCATATAGCTATCGAGAGCCTCGAATTCGGCATGGTTGATGACAGTTTTCTGGAACGCTATGCCTGCGCTGGTAGTCGCAGTAATGCCAGCAGCCGCCATAATAGGTGCACTGATCTGACCGGAGTGGTTCGTTGACGGTCCCGATATGTTCTTGTAGATTGGGTTTTCGCGCCTCCTATGGAAGATGGGCATATCCACCGGGATCTCCAATGGGCCCCGAGTGTTAATGACGTCGTCAAAGTGCGACAGATCAGGTACGATGTGACCACAGCAGTACAGCCCCTTGAGCTGTCCGGTACACCCGGCCACGTCTTCGGTCAATCCGATGGGCGGCGGATAGTGCGTGTTCCGCAGTACGAACCAGCATTTTTCCATTGCTGTGAAGAGTAAGAATGTGAAAGACGTGTGGTTCTGAGAGAGTATGGAAGTGAGCGTTGAATACGTTTTTGTCTTGATTTATATCTCAATTTAGCTGTGTAGTGAAAGGGATGGAATGCCAGAGTTCCCCCTTATATAAGAGGAAATATTCAAACGTCCTCCAAAGACCAATTGACCATGAAATTTGATAGTATTTGTGACATAAACTTGGCGCTTAGAACGAAAGCGCTTAGTTTGGCCAATTTCCCCCCAGGAACCTGTGGATATCACAGTATACTGCACTTCAGTCTATCATTGCCCCGGTTCAACTTGCTCTTGCCGCCGAAATCAGGCCAGGAGACTCATTTGGGTCCAACCGCGCGGTCCACTTCTAAGCGCCCGCATCGTCTTCAAGTTCCAACACAGGTAGATCATCTAAATTAAGTTTTCTGTTGGTTACTCCGAAACACACATCTTGATCAGGAAGGAATAAATGCTGTCCTTGGCGTTGGAAGCGATTGACATGCAATGCAACGTCGTGGAAGCGCTGCACCAAGACAAGTGGAACATGCAGTATTCCGGTCTACTTCACAGGACATTGATGGACGTCGTGCAACGGCTGAAAGACAGGCCGGCGGTTATCCGTGCAGAGGCTCCACTGAGAGAAATTATCCATCAATTCGTTCTTCACGAAATCAGCTCCACATAAGCGCACCAAGCAATATGAAATCCCAATAGCTCTTGTCAAGTCCCTAGTTCCATGCTCTTGCAGTAGTCAAGCAAAGCTTGTAGACATTTGCAAGTTCACAACCATGTTGCGTATGCGTTAGGGTGGTTTCATGAAGTATCAGAGTTCTTCAATGCCCCGAAACGGGTGAAGCATTTATGAGAGTAATTGTGCCAAGCCCCTTCAAAGGCCCGCATGAGGCTGTTTGCGCCACTTAAGCAGCTCACCAAGACAGAGAGTCCTCAATTGAACAAGAGAAACTAGCAGAGGTAATAATATAGACAAAACAAGCTCAAGAAACTTACCAGTGTCATCTTGCCGAGTCGGGCTGAGTGCTTGCGATGGATTGCATATATCAACACGGAGCCGATGAGATGGCCATCGGTGTGAACGGCACGACTGAAGGCCATCGAAACAGGACTAGCGGCGCAAGCAGGACTGAACTTTTAAGCCAGGACTGTAATACAATGGTTCGTTGCTTGGGGTGTCCTGGCTGCCTTTACGTACCCAGGCAAGGAGATAACAATAATAGCGGCGGTGGTAGAAAAGGACGAAACTTACGTGTAGGCTGACATCCCATGTTCTTTCACAAGCTTGGATAATCACGTTGTTTCTTTCCGGGGCTTTACTGATTAACTATGTCGTATATGGGCCCGGCAACTACAACTACGATGGTGTGTCGTTCATCTGTCACGGAACAAATGCAAGATGCCACGACGATCA